TTTTTCACCTTCATGGCCACCTTCACTTTGACCAGGTTCATCATCGCTTTCATCCTCCTCCCATTTTTCACTGTCACAGATGGAGGGAAGCTGGCGAAGCTGGTTGGCTTGGAGGTCCAACTCTCGGAGGTTCGTGAGATTTCGGAAGAGCTCGTCTGGCAGCTCCGTGAGGCCGGTAAACTGCAAGCTCAATTTCCGCAACGAGGCCAAGCCTTGGAACACCTTCGGAGGCAACTTTTGGAGCTGGCTGTTGCTACCCAAGTCCAGCGCCTTGAGTTTTGGGAGCTTTGCGAAGACCGCCTCCGGCAGCGTGGACAGCTGGTTGTCATTCAGCCTTAACGTCTCCACGTGCGGAGTCTGGTGAAACAGCTTCGGACCGAGCTCCTTGATCTTGTTGCCATTCAAGTACAATTCCTTGAGGTAGCTCCACGTGCCTTGGAACAGCTCGTCCGGCAGCTCGGTGATGCGGTCCCCGTACAAGCCCAACGTCTGCACTCGGCTGGTTTCGTCGCAGCTCCACGGAGCCAACCGGCCGAGGTCAAAGTTGAATATATTGATGCTCTCCACGTGGCACAGCGTCGCCGTGAGCTGCTGCCAATGCTCCGCTTTCGGAGCCTTATGGGTTCCACAGTCGTCACAGTTAACCGACACGGTCGAAAGGTTGCCGGCCAAGCGAAGTGCCACAAGAACGTCCTTCAATTGCGCTGCACCTCGGAGCTGCTCCACCTCGAGCGTCGTGACCTTCTCAAAGATCTCTTGCGCCTGTTCGGCGCTGAAGTTGGCCGCTTCTCCATTGCCCGCTTCGATCATGCCGACCAACAACTCCTTCGGCATCCTGGAGTGCCACGTTGCAACCTCCGCAGCGAGGATGGACTCGAGCGGAGGCATCAGCCACACTTTCTTGGTAACGAGCTTGAGGAAGTCCAATGGAAAGCTTCCGGCCTGCGAACTCAACTCATTGCCAGCTGACAGTGTCTGACCAAGAAACTCCATGAAGGAGTTCAGGGACACCTGCGCCTGGGTGTTCTCTAAGCGCAGCTTGCCATGTTCGTAGGACCACTTCAAGCTGCACTGGCCATGCTTGTGGCAGCAACCCACACTATGGAAAGATTTGGAGGCCAACAGAAGCGCATCACTTTGCCATGGCGCTCCAAATTGTGAGTCTCTCATCAACTCCTCCACTTGGCCGAAGCATTTGCTTTTCATAAGCCCACAGAGTGCGTCGGCGGATGCTGCTACGCTCTCGTTGACCTCGGAGCTCATGGTCAACAGCTCGCAGGCCTTGCGTTTGGCCGCCCATGCGGCAGGCGCGTCCACGCCATCCCATGCCACCTTCAACTTCTGCTCGATGGTCGGAAAGGTGCCCTGTGTGGTGCTGTCTTTCCGCAAAGCGACTGTGAAAGGCTTGGGTGTGAAAGAACTGATCCAAGGATCCAAGGCCATCGAGATTGGCAAGTCCTTCAACGGACCTGAGCCGCAGGCGTTGTAGCGGTTCTGCAGAAGGGAGCTTTCGATGCAGCGGGTCGATTCGCTGAAGCCGAGAGATTTCATCTCTGTTTCTTGAATCTGAAGCTTTGGATCCTTCCATTCCGCGGTGAAGGCCTGGGAATATTTTTCACTTCAGAAGCGGAAGAGCATTCGTGTGAAGCAAAATGCGAAACAGCTTGGCCACTCTATGAGCACCCTGGTTGTCAAGAGCAAGTAGACTTTGCGCAAAATCTATTCCAATCTAGATGTCAAGAATTTACCACCTTGATCAACGCAATTAGTACGTTTGTCTGCATCTATTTGCATATGAATGAAGTTTATTCCCGAAAGAATCTGCGTAGGCAAAGGCACCTTATCGGCCAACACCGGCAGCACCAGCAACTGCAATTTCTTCACCTCCGTTGGGTCATACTCATGGATCACCACTGTGATGTCAGAGTGTGCTGTTCGCAACGTGTACCCGATGGATACCTTCGTTCCGTTCTTCATCATGGCAACAACTTGAACAATCGCGTCGGAGACGAGAGGCACGCCTCAAGCAACCAAATCAAGCGACAACCATCAAACTTAATGACATTTTAGGAAATTTTTGCACCCATTGTGAAATATATTCAATCATGGACATCTTCAAACTTCAAACCTTTCACTGTGCTTCAAGACTGGTCGCCTCTGTGCAAATCCATTGCGCCGAAATCAGACTCGAAGCGCTGCTCGCCCACTTCCAGTTGAAGTGCAAAAGTCAACTGACCAGAGTTGCCCTGCCAATCGGGATGGATTCC